AAATACCGGGGGAGGGAAATCCCTCAAACCGACGTTTATATCTCACGTTCCAGCGGGCGCTGTTATGTTCAAATAAACAACTCCTCCAGTGATCTCAACACTCACTTACTCACACACACACACACACACACACACACAAACACTCACACAGACTAACACACACTAACACACCAACACACCACACACACACGCACACACACTCACTCACACACTAACACACCACACACACACCACACACCATACACACACACCACACACACCATACACACACACCACACACACACACATTCATTCACTCATACACACTCACACTCTCTCACTCACTCTCGCTTGTATTCATTCATTCATTCGCACTCAGTCACATAACCATTCACTCACAAATACACACACTCACTCACTCTCCACTCAGTCACACCCACTCATTAATATTCATTTACACTCACTCACACTTGCTCATGGTCACACTCGCTAAAAGAATTCTACAAGTTTTGGACACAATGAAATTTACACCTCTCTCTAGTGCATGATTAGACACAAGCTTAGGAATGTTAACCAACATCCCTATTCCTATTTAATAAAAAAACTAGTGAACCAAAATTTGTTTAGTATCCTTAGCTTTCCCCTGAAATTGGTAGATTACCGTTTCTGTTTATGAAATCAGAAAGAGGAGTAAAAGCTACTGCCAAAGAAAGCCTAAAACTAAAATCACAAACCAATAAAACAACTTTCTTGAAAACCTTGAGAAAAGAAAAGTATACATTCATTAAATGTTCACATTTCATGTCTCTTGAATACAATCAAATATTATGTATCTACAATTGATTAAAAACTTTTCCATAAAGAATTCTCTATTCTATTAAGAATAAAAGTATATTGACAATGTAATCTCAGAAACAACTCCACACTACAAAAATTACCCTTCCAACTCTTGTGATTATTATACTTTCATAATTACACCGGCTTTCATAAGTACATCGGCTTTTTGGATATATTTCCCTCAATCAGTTACTTAATTTATGAATTTTGTTCTGTTTTCCTTAATTCACAGAGCATACCCTTTGGTTTGTTTCTTGACACAAGAGCTTTTCTCTTTTCTTCAAACAACACAAACTTGCATTTCTATGAAACTATAAACAATTAAAACATATAGAAAATGATTTCATTCACCTTGTTGTCTGTGCCAGAGTTCAGTTATCCCTAAAATTTATTGCTATTTATTGCTATTGTCATTAAATATCATCACCATTAATTTACACACTAATGGTTGCCATGATTGTTATCATGCAGAGGGATTCACTGCACCTGTTGCTACAGTTAAAACTCCAGAGACTACATTATAAGTAAGCTAAATAAAAAGTCCACCACATGTGCTCAACACAATCTACAATTGATACACCTTCACTTTTGGTTAAAAAGAAACAGCTATGAACGAATATTTATTGAAGTTGACAAACACATATGTGAAATGAAAAGATAATTTCCTTTTAAAGATTCTTCATAATAGTACAGTTTCACAGAAATTAGAAACAGATTTTCAAATTAATAAGTTTAAAATTAAACCTCTAAACATTTCTAGATTTTCACTGTTAAGGCAGTTTTTTTACCCCCTTGTTGATAAAAGTTGTTCCCTGGCAAAAGATATCATAATGAATATTATATATTATTGAATTCATAAATGTTTTGTTATGTTTACAAGCTTCATTTAAGATTTAATTGAAAAAATGTATACTATTATTTTTGGTAGTTCAATGTTCAAACTTATATTTTCCAAAATCACAAGATAGTTCTGTGAATTGCATTTGTTCCGTTCCCATTCACACACGTTTACTACACTTCACATCATAATTTATTATTTCTATGTAATATTTTTCCATTAAATATCAGTGTTGTAGCCTACTACATTACAAATAACTACAAATATTAATCATTACAATTAACTTCTTGAGTTACTCCTATCACTTCTGTCACCTATAACTGAAGTAGTGTAATCAATATTAATCAGTTCAATAAACATGATAATTAGAGAGAGGATTTTTATGCCCTAAAAATCTTGAAATATGCCTTTAAAAATATGCATTTATGTCCTAAAAATTCTACTTTAATATGTACTTTAATATCAATTAAAATTAACAATATTTCATATCTGGTAAAAGAATTCTTGATAAAATTTCAGGAGAAGCGATCATGAAATGAAAATTTGTTTTTGTGCAAACATAAGGTAATCTACCTGACTTTTTGGATCAAATAATTGAAGTAAATATTCACGGCAGTGAAGTACATTGTATGTTTTGTTTAACTTTGTCTGCCTGATTTAAAAATATGTCATGGTAAATTCTACATTTCTATAAATATTTTATCATTTGTAAGCTCTAGGAAACCTGTACGGTTTCTGTGGCATTATGATGGGACTGTGCATGCCACAGGTACTCTCTACGACACTTTTGCTGAAAATATTACATTTTAAATATTAAAATAATCTTGTATTTGCCAAAAAGAAAAAACAATAGCATAACATTTACGTAGTTTCATCTTACAATGTCACTTTTTATGCACACAAATCAATAGATTCTATGAAAAGATGAACCATTTTAGAGATAAGTCTCTATTTAAATGAAATTTTCAAAATATGCACCTACAAAAATCACGAATGTGCACCAACAGAAAAAAATCATCTGAATAAGCACAAATATTCACTAACTTATTAATCTACATTGCAGTTAATTCTAAATAAATGTCAAGAAATTTTCCTTAGCTATGCCCTAATGCAGCAGACAAAAATATGCAAAATTATAGAAATTTGCTCTGATATTATATACGTTGATACGATATGATGTATGTGATATGATGTATATGATATATAATGATATTTGTTTCTTGCAGAACGGAATGTCTGAAGCTGCTGGTGGCTGTCACTATCCTTACTTGTGCGTCTGAGTCAGAGCGTGCAGAACTTCTAAACAAGTGGATTCAAGTAGCAATTGACACAAAAACAGCTCTAGGAAACCTGTACGGTTTCTGTGGCATTATGATGGGACTGTGCATGCCACAGGTACTCTCTACGACACTTTTGCTGAAAATATTACATTTTAAATATTAAAATAATCTTGTATTTGCCAAATAAGTTTTTTTTAACAACTTTATATAATAATATTTCTCAAACCGACTTTGAGTACTATAATTGAAATTTCAAAATAGGCTAGAGAGACAGAACAAAGATATTTCTGCTCTTTTACTTTATGTAGCCAATAAAATGTAGCTTAACAGATATAGCACTTGGCTTAACATAAGCCAAGTGCCATCTAGCTTAGCTTAACATTAAGCTAGATTAAACTAGATTCTTTCTAATGAGAAAAGAGGTTTCGCTGAAATTAATGGAACATTTGTTTTTCCAGGTGCAACGTCTCACGTCAACTTGGCATGTCCTCCGGCAGAAATTTACAGACAGTGCATTTAATTTTGAAGCAAAACTGCGCCCAACATTGAAGAGTATGAATGAATGTTCTAATCCCCAGGCTCCCAATACCACCATTCCACACCTGTTGCCATTTATCTTGCTTCAAGAGCGCAGCCTTGATGATATATTGGGTAAAGATCTTTGCATCAATTTACTTGTCAAATATTCAACAGTGCCAGTAAAAATGTTTTAGGCATATTAAATATTCTAATTCTTATATTTACATACATATTAGCTATTGAATGAATGAAAAAAGAATAATATTTAAAATTGTTGTGTTATAAATCTGAATTTGTATAAGAAACAAGTGTCCATCATATATTCTGACATCAGAGAGTAATTGTAGAATTATAATTCAGAATAACTGAATTATAATTTTTGAGTTTATAATGTTATTTATTTTTCTCAGGTACGGCTCCAAGCAGCAATATGGCAATATCTGTTTTGGGAAGTTGGGAGTCCTCCACAGCTGACTTTGGACTTGGCACATTATATGCTCATTTAGAATCTGCTCGCAAGTTTGGTGAATCATTGCCTACATTTCGACGTAACGCAGAGATTGTGCTTGGTGACACCAAGGTGGATGATTTGCTTCTTGATGCCTTCCGCACTGAGTTTCATCTTAAGTTCCTGTGGGGCAGCCGGGGTGCAGCTGTGGCCCCTGCTGATCGCCATGCAAAGTTCGACCAGGTGTTGTGCGTAATGTCCGAGAAATGTGAGCCCCCTTCACCTGTGCATACTCCTGTTGGTACAGCAGTTTGAATATTATGCTACCAAAAGCTTACAATCCTTGTCAATGTCTGCTTTGTTTATCTGGTGCCCTGAAAAGTCTTAATGTAACTGAACTTCTCTACTCGAGTTTGAGTACTTGTGGAGGGCTCAGTCACAGGATACTGAAAAGAAAAGATATTAAGTGCATGTAGGCAGTTTTATTTCCTTGTGGTTAAATGAAAGTTTGCAACTGTAATGTATTGTCAGCAATTATCCATCAAACCTGACTGACAAATTAATTGATAAAATTATGTAATGATGGTATATATTCCTGTTTCCCAAAATGGGTGATGTTTTCATTTGTGTTTTTGATTTATATTATAATTTTTGAGGCACAAAAGTGTGAAACTGAAACTTTTCAAGGAAACTTAGGAGATGGTGAGTAAAGAGCTTGCTACCAATATTCCTATTGTGGTGCTGATCTCATGAAATCAAATTTCTTTTGCCTTAATGTTTCTTTACAAAGACATCAATATTCATTTCTGCATATCTGCTGTGCACAACTAACTTAGATCATATTTAAATGATACCTCAGGATAGATCAAGTTCTTCCTTAATGGCTACAACCATCACTGCCTATGCAAAAGACATAAATTTGTATTGATTTCCTAGCTTTGCAATGAAAATTGGAAATACTTAACAATGTTATTTTACAATAAACAATTGAGGAAATTAAAATGAGGAAATTAAAATTGTATTTGATAAATGGAATTTTAATTGGTAAATATTCTTACTTGTCAAGTTGACTAAAATTTCTTTGTTTTGGTACACATTTCTAAACAAAATATTATTATGCAGACTGGTGTAGCCTTACTTCATGCCCAAAACAAATTTTTAACTTGAATATGGTATTAAAAATAAACACATATATTTTTCAATGTTGTGTCAACTAAGTGTGGGTAATGTCAGATTTATGAGGTAGTAAAAACACCAAAGTATTTTAAATTAGGGCACCAACTCATGTACTGCAGAGCTTGCTTTCGCTGAAGGCTTTTGCTGCATCAATTATTTCGGCAAGATATTCTTCACACAATGGCACAAAGAAGGCCTAAGTTGAATGACTAAGCTACTTTAACTGCCTACAAACAAGCATCATAGTTCTTAATAAAGGATTAAAAAAGATGGGCTCTCTTAGTTCAAAATCTATATTTTTAACTTTTCTAAATTACATGAATTGTAGCATTTGCAAACTTTATATAAATCAGGATATTCTAAATTCTTTGAATTTCTTGAGTAGATGTTTATACCATCTGATCAAGAACCAAAGTAATTAAGTACAAATGAGTTCAGGAGAGCATCAAAATAATATAATCCTTTATTGCCTTTTGGCAACAGCAGTGCCAATTGGTAAATGACAAGTGTGTGGAAACAGCTTATTTTAATATTTTTAAATATTAGAATGTTCCACATATCATTGTGTAGGACCTATGAATATTTGTCAGTGATTGAACTTGTCAATTCTATGTATATTTTCTCTTGTTTAGTATTGTATATGCGAAATGTAAAGTTATTTATGTGTACGTATATATGCACGGTACCTAATTTTCATGTATGGTTATTGATTAAGAACTGATTGGAACATAAATTTACATACAATTTGAGAGATCAATTTTTCTTCGTATTGTCTTTAATCTTAACACAGTTTTCATCTTGTAATCATTTGATCTTTTCTTCATTGCCAACATTTTCTAATGCAATGTAACTGAATTGTGTTCCTTATTGACATATGGAAATCAGTGAAAAAATCCTCTCAAAATGGTTGAAAAGATGATAATTTGAAAAGAAAAGTTTCTGTTCAGAAATGTTTATATTTTATTTACAGTACCTTCTTGATTGCTTCCTAATTTGCTAGTGCTTATAAAAATATTTCAGCAAAAATTTATATTTTGTAGTTTCCACGAAAAGTGAATTAGAAATTAGGGAATGTATTCAATTTTCTGAAAATTCTGAGAAACATGAGAAATTATTTCTGGCCCTACTGGCTTAAATCATATCAGTTCTGTCTGTGAGGAAATATATTTCTCGCTAATGTCATACATTTACCATTGTAATGTATACGTTACACAAAGGTCAAAACATTTACTCAATACTGTGTTAAGAAAAATATTTAAATATTGCAAGTAAATATAAAATATAAAAAATATATTATTACAAGACTGCATAACATGTACATTTCATCCCTGTATATAACCATGTTAAACCTAAAACATGAGATAGATTTATGTTGTATTTTTATTGTCTTCAGAAATGGAAAACAACGAGTATTGGCGTATAAAGATTGTGTTTATGTATGAAATTCTGTTTTTCTATCTTCTACTCTAGACTGTCAATGTATAGCTTCTTCTCTGTCTACATACCTACTACACTTACTCTCCAATCAAGGCTGTATAATGAACTAAGAGTGTATAGAAAGAAGAAAATAATAGTTATATAATAAATATGATGATGAATGTGAGATGAATAAATGACACAAAGTGTACATAGTTCTCTTATCCCAAATATGTGAAAATATGTTTTAGAGCCTGAATACTATATACATCTATATGTTTTGTGTTGTACTTTTGTGAAGCTATATTCAATTATAGTTCTTCAATGGGGCTGTTCATGTATGTTATAAGGTTGAAATTCATATTGTCCCACTGTTTCTAAGACGTGTTGTGTGACTGCATCATTTCATATACAGTTTTGAAAAGAACAGGATGTTATCAGTATGTTCGAACTATTGGAAGATAATATATGTTACATTTATATGAGGCAATATTGTTTTACTTAGAACAAACAAAAATAGATACTGTTCCTGCAAGTTTTCATATTTATTACAGAAATCAAGAAGTTAATTACTAGAATGGTAACAGTGACATATTCAATTATATACATTAATAAAATATAGTTAAGAATAAAAGTGTGTCACTATAATATGCGAATGAAATTTGCAATGTATGAAGTATTATATCTGGTGTAGTAAACAAAATAAGATTTTCTGAATCTAGAGTTTTCAAACTTCTTTGCTACTAGAATAGTAAGTATTGTGAAGATAATTAGTGCTATTGGGTGTATTGACTTAGAGAAATGAAAACATGAATAATGTGAATTTTAAACACTAGTCAGTCTGAAATTTATGTGTGAAGTATGAACTGTGTCCGAAAATTAAAGTGGATTTTTTGTAATTAGGAGCAAAGCATATACAGAACAGCCTCATTATTTTTGTGATACCTATTACAAATAAACTCAGTGTCATTTGTAACAAGAATTTTGTTTCTAAAATTTATATTACAATCTTGCAGTTAAAGTAGCTGTTTGGGTGCCAACCTTTGTGAAATTCCTAGTCCTCCCATTCTTAAATACTACAAAACCATTTAACATCTTTCAATTTTCTAATGATTACTTTGACAAAATCATTTTATTTAAGTTAACTGCAGAAGTAATAACAATTACTGTCAGGTAAGTGCAGTCTGGTACTACAAAACAGGGTATGTAGCAATATTTCATTTGAAGATGCTTGCAATCATGCAGAAATGTTTCTACAGATCTGGCTGTCCGTACTTGATGAGAAAGTTCATGAACGGGCTAGGGCCTACCAGCAGCGTCCTGGCCTTGAGGCCATGAGTTATGAGGGTACATGTGATTATCATTAAGATTTCCCCATGCCTTATTGTGGTCTTCTCCTGAGAAGTGAGTTTTCTCATCATCACACAGCAACATATAGTAGGACATTGCAAGGAAAGTACACATTACAATCTTAACCAACAGGGAATCAAACCCGGGGTCACGTCATGGAAAGTAATCATGCTGACCAATGAGTGTGATGGTGTTTCTACAGATCAACACAATAAAATAAATCTATCTGAAAAAATTCTTTGAAAATAGGAAGGCAAAAGGAAAAAAAATATTTAATTCAAAGATAAAATGAATTGATGATGATGTTATGGTGTTTCTAATAACATAGTCAAGTACCAGTTTAGAACAATAGGATAATGACAATTTTATATTTGGGTAATACCAACAATCATTTTCTTCAGGTACTTATATTCAACTTTAATTTTTTATTTCTTAAACCTTCAATTTACTCCTTCCAAATCCAACTGCCACTCCAGTCAATATCTGTGAAGCAATAAAATATTACAAAGTGTTATTTTTTAATTTGATGTATCTTTTAAACAACACATCTCTTTAGCCCTTCTGGAGGGTTTGAGCAAATCTACATTGGTGTAATCCTCCATTAAGTTATTTGTTGTTTGCCTTGTAACATCACAGTCAGTTTATACCTTTTGTCCTTTTGGTCAAGAGCTTAGTGCCCTTAGTAACTGGACAACCAAGTTGGTCATCTATCCAGGAAGCTGTGGTGTCTTGAGATGCTTCATATTTGTGACTTTTCAGATCATATTTAAGCAATTTGGTTAATGACCTTGGAAGAAAAAGAGAAGCTGAGGAAGTAAGATGGAGGGAATTGGGCAGAGAAGAGGAAAGTGAACTTCATACCAATAGTTTGAGTTCATATTGAAATTATTAAAAATGAAATTTTTTTCAATTTTTTTATAACATTTTCTGCAGTAAGTAAAATATATAAATCATACTAGAAAAAATATTCAATATGCACAATTATGTAATTGCAACTAATGTCATAAAATGATAAATAAATTGCATTATTCAGAAAATAATTTGCTAGATAGGTACACTTAAAGTATTTTCCATTTCTAGTGTAATTCTCCTTGAATTGATAAAGCAATTGAATCAGCATGAGGTGAAAGGAAACAAATCAAAAATGGAATATTTTAAAAATGGCAAATTGTACTGTAAACAAGGGAATCATGTTATAACAGAGTATAGGTTATAAATTGTAAGATGAAACCACCTGTACTGTAGGGAAATGGAGCAAATAACTGACATGCTTCATTACTCCTCAGTACTTTAATTTGGGTTTTGTATATTTGCAATGTGTGCGTTATGCATGGCATATCTATGAAATGGCAGGCACGACGTGTACCTGGATGGGCAACACTCACATGGGCACTATCTAAATATAGAGTATACCCACTAAAACAAACAACACCCTAATTTGAAATACCCTGACAGGGGTGCAAATTGTTTGCTTGCGATGGATGCCTGAATATATAGATGAGCTTCTGCATGCATGCATATATGCAAGCTTGCATGGTATCTCTAAGAAAAGAGTTTATAGGTTAGCAAAGCTTCTCCCACCTGACAAAAGCCCATGAGATAAACAGACTAATTCTAATCCAGTTAAAATTTTTGAGCACATATTACAATCAATAAATGAGCATAAAAGTAGTTTCCTTTTCAAGAAATCTCACTATAGTAACTGATAAATGGAATATCTTGATGGGTGTTTAAATATTAAACTTATATATCATATTTTCATAAAGAAATATCCAGATACTGGTATTAAATAAGCCTTTTTTTCAAAAATATTTTTCAGAAAAATATAAACTTAGATTTAATAGACCTCAAGTGGATGTTTGCTCCAAATGAGAAGAACTTAGAGCAAAAATTAAGAGTACATTTTGTCTGATAGCACTAAGAGTGAAAGTCTGAACTTCGTATTCACAAAAAAAAGAGCTGATATATTTTATATATCAATGCAAGAAACTAAAGAGAATTAGGACGTACACTTATCCTTTTTCCAAACTCTTTACAATATGTAATTTGTAATGCATTTAGCCAAATGTTGCTACACAAATATTTATTTCTTTGAGTAAATGACTGTTTTAAAAAAATATAACATTCTTAAATATTATGTAAAATTTATTGCATTGATGATTTCGGTACCTGGTTTTCTTTAAACTCAATTCTGACACTGAGGAGAGGAAGGAAACATGTCAAGAACAATTAAAACCAAATTCTGATCACACAAAAGTTATTAAATTTCTATTTCATGAATTGTTATAAAAAGGAAAAAAATGAAATAAAGGTATTTAATGTACTAATAAAAGGGAGAAAAAATGTAAATTAGAAGATCGGTGGGATGCCGAGAATACGACCGTGAATATAATTACGTATTGTTAATATACGCCATATTTTTAGTCGGTAATTTGTATTGCATTTAGCCACAGAATTTGCTCAATGGATCAAGGGAAAATTGATGCAAATCCTGATCAAAATGGATCAAAATGGGGATCATTGATTCATAAGTACAATTTTTTTATATTCTATATATTTCATAGTTACACCTTCATAATTAAAATTAAAAATATTCCTTCATTCATTAAATACCATTGTTAAAATAAACATGATTTTCCACGTTGGTAAAGCTAGCACACTCATTTTCACGAAATTGAAAAATTCTTGTAACATTATTTGAACCAATTTAAGACCTCCAAACAACTTTTGGAATACCTCCGAATACCCCAAATTAAAATATCAAAGTGTAGTTGGGAAAGCCAGCTCCTTCACTTTCCAAAATAATTCTTGCGTCATAATTTTGGGCACCTTACTAACGCCAAATTTATTTATTATAAAAACTCGGAATAAAGGTTTTAAAAAATGGGATGATAAAGCTAGCACTTCCCTTCATTAAAATAAAAAGCGAATTTTGAACTCCAATGGGCCTCTTTTCAAATTTTTTCTTTTATAATTTTTTTTTATTTTTATCTTTTTGTCGTTTTTTTACCTTTTGTCTTTGGTCCACCTTGTCCATTCCACCCTCTCACCCTGTTCGTCCCTATCCCTCACCCTTTTGTTGTCTCTATGTCTTTTTGACCCTCTTGTCTATTTGTTCTTTTTATCATTTCGTCTTGTCCTTCTGTCTTTTTTTTTTCACATTTTGTCCCCATTGTCCTATTATTCCTTTTCGTCCTCACCCGAACTCACTTATCCTTTGGGCCCCACTCACCCTCCCCTTCTGTACCATACCCAGCCTCTCAGCAACACCTTCTGTCCCGCCACCCTCTCATTCTCACCAACATACCTTTGTCCTTTTGTCCTTTCATCCTGTCGTACCTCCTTTGGCCTTTTTATCTCCTTTGTTCGTTGTCCCTTTTCTTTTGTCCATTTGTCCTCTTGCCCTTTCGTCGATTAGTAGTTTCGTTTTCTCGTCGTTTCTTTGTTTCATCGTTGCGTCGTTTCGTTATTTCGTCACTTCGTCTTTTCATCGTTTCGTCTTTCATCTGTTAATCTTTTCTACATTTCGTTGCTTCGCCTTTTCGTCGTAGCGTTTTTGCATCGTTTCGTCGTTGCGCCTTTCCGTCGTTGCGTCGTTACGTGGTTTCGTCGTTTCGTGGTATCGTCGTTTCGTAGTTTCGTCGCTTCGTGGTTTCGTCTTTTGGTATTTTCTTCTTTTCGTCGTTTTGTCGTTGCATCGTTACGTCCTTTCGTCATTAGCGTTCTTGCGTCGTTTCGTCTTATCGACTTTTTGTCCTTTCGTCTTTTCACCGTTACGACATTACGTCGTTTCCCCTTTTCGCCTTTTCTTTTCGTCGTATCGTATCTTTTCGTTGTTTCGTCGGTTAATCGTTTCGCCTTTCCTTCTTTTTGTCTTTTGGTCGTTTCGTCGTGTTTTTTCGTCGTTTCGTCCTTTCGTCATCCCGTATTTTGTGTTTTGCGCCCGTTGTTTGGTCGTATCGTCTGTCGTTTCGACATTATGTAGTTTCGTCTTTTCACCTTTTCTTCTTATTGTATTTTCGTCTTTTCTTCGTTTTGTCTTTTCCTCGTTGCGTTAATTTTTCGTTTGGGCGTTTCGTCATCTCGTCGTTTCTCCATTGAGTCGTGGCGTCGTTTCTTTGTTTCGTCTTCTTATCTCTTTTACTTTTTTGACTTATCGTCTTTTGGTCGTTTCGTCGTTCTGTCTTTTCGACGTTTCGGCCTTTCGTCGTAGCGTTGTTGCCTCGTTGTGTCGTTTCGTAGTGTCATTGGTTATACTTTTGTCGTTTCGTCGTGTAGTATTTTAGTTATTTCGTCTTTTAATCTTGTCGTCTTTTCGTCGGTTCGTCGTTGCAAAGTTGCGTCGTTGCAAAGTTGCGTCGTTGCGTCATCCTGCCTTAGGTCTTTTTGCTTTTTCGCCATTACATATTTTTCGTCGTTTAGTCGTTGCGGAATGCTAGTCTTTGAGCTACGTCCAATGCACCGTGGAATGCAGCATAACCCAGGGGGCTGGTTAATATTCTTATCGCAACACGTCTTCAGCAACTTTTTGGGTTTCCCACCAGAACGTCCAATATACTGAATTTAGTTCAACATACAAATTCAGAGTCCGTGCACTTAGAACAAAAGGAAATGTTATACCATTATTTACGTAATTATCACAAAAATTATCTTAAAAGTGATCATTATTTG